AGCTCCTCAGGAAAAGAAAATTTAGTCTTTATTGATCAAGCCAGGTGAAGAGGTTGAATGTACAGGAAAGTTTTTCGAGTCTGTGAAAGGAATTGGGCGTTGTGTATGTGTGTGGCTCCTGCTACTGGGAAAGCTAAGACAGGAGAGTGCCTTGAAAAAAGGAGTTTGAAACCAACCTGGGCAATTCAAACAGATACTAGTTTCTGTTTTTTAAGCCAGACATGGTGGTCCACATCTGTAATTTCTGGACCTAGGGGTGTAGGATTTAGTGACTAAGCGAGGACCCTGTCTCAGAACAAAAAATAAAAAATGACCAAGATTGTACCTCAGAGTGTGAAGGCCCGGTTTCAGTCCCCAATACTAAGAAAAAATTTGATGAAAGGAAGATCTGTATCCATAAAGCCTTCCATGAAACATTTCTGTCACTAGAGTTGTGGGAAAAGATACATTTTTATCCATAAATCTATAAAATTTTGGCAAGTTATATGTATAATTATTCTTTTGTAATAAAAAGCTGCATGATCTGCATGAATCATAATTGTGCTCAGCTTGTTGCACAACACCTGTCAGGATTAAAATTTACTTGCCAGGAAATAATAAAAATTAAAAATAAAGCCAGGCATCATGGCAAATGCCTATAATCTTAGCACTCAGATGCTGCAGCAGGAAGATTCCACTTTGGAGCCAGGCTGGCCAATTTAGGGACTTAGTGTGACCTTGTCTCAAAATTAGGGTGGGGGGGAAGGATGGAGATGCTGGGAAATGCAGCAATAAGTTGTTCTATTGCATTGTCTTCCTCTCCCTGCTTTATAAGGAGAGTGAGGTTTGTTTTTGTTGTTCTGGGGAATGAAACAAAGGCTTTATTGGAGACTGAACCTAGAGTGACAAACACTCTAGCACTGATATATATTCCTGGTTCTTTTTTTTTTATTTTGAGACAGGGTATCTCTGAATTGCCCAGGCTGACTTGGAACTTGTGATTCTGATTATACCTCAGCCTCGCAAGTAACTGTGATCTTGTATGCACTACCATTGCCTGACCTAACAGAGTAACTTTGAAATAACTAATCTACTCTGTGTTGTTTCTGCTTTTTTTGAACCTTGCTTTGTCTCCTATTAGTTCTCTCAGGATAGCTTGCTTGCTGCTATACGTAAGCCTATTTTTCCACCTCTGTTTTATACTTTATACTCTTCTAAAGCTTTACACTCTTTTTTGCTAATTTCTATCTTTCTCGATTTAAATATTCCTCCTTTTGTGTTTACTTTTTTTCAGGCAGAGTCTCACTATTTAGTTTAGGCTGGCCTTGAACTCACTGTGTAGCCAGCCTGGCCTCAAACTTGTGAAGATCCTCCTGCCTGAGCCTCCTAAATGCAGGGATCACAGATGTGTGCTACTATACCTGGCTGTGTTTACTATTATTGGATGAAACAGATACATGCCAGGCTGTAAAATGTAAATTCTTTTGTAACTGCTTGTCACAATTCAGCATTTCTCAAAGGTGGGGGAATAAATTAGTGCCTCTTAGGCAGATGTTAATAATCCATCATAATTTATATTATATACTTTTATGTCTAGCTCTACAAACAAAAATGTTTACTTTGTTACAGTATTCCTTCCTTAGGAATTTATCCTAAACATAGATTCATACATGTACTGTAAAAGAAACTTTAAAAACTCACAGCCTGATGCTTTATTAAGGACAAGATATGCAGGCCCAGCTCATCTCATAGTTGGACTGTTGGACTCAGTTAGTCTTGACATACTACACCAGCTGCAATTTGTGAGATAATGTAGCTCAGCTATACTACCCAGCCAGGTAGCGTTTCCTATAGTGCTAACTTGTTTCAAGGACTTACCACCCAGGACAGACTCACTCAGTCAAAGACATGATTGGTTTACGGATTTGCCCAAGCCCTTGACCTTCTACTATATGATAAGAATACCCCCACACACTAAACCCGCATGCAATGAATCTACCAAACAATATGTCAAAATATGTAACCAGTTATAAAATAACCCACTATCAGCTTTTGTATTTCCTGCTTGCAACATATATAAGTGTCTGTTTAACCCCAAGTTGGGGCTAGTGATTTTGAACTGGGTTCCCACCAGCCCACTGGCATAATACAGCTGTTGCCTTCCAAGTGCCTCAGTGCTGCATATCTTCCATCCAGTTTTGTCCTGGTTCTGCAGCAGTACAAACACATATCCAAAAAGCAGAGTGCTAAAAAAAAGTGGTGTCTGGTTAGAAAAATTTTAGAGTGGGAGACCCATCTACCTTTTATTATGTCTTCCGAAGTTCATGTTTACCTTTATTTTACACAAATTGAGCATCTCTACTTCAGTTAGTACTTTTTATTTTAAAAAGATAAACTAAAGTGAAAAGAGCCTGCTTACTACCTTTGTAACATAGTGTGTGTAGATTCTTATTCCTAATGGATTTTCTTGAATATGTTTTTCTTCATTGCTGAACTTTCTTCTTCATTGCTGAGTCTGACTTTATGTAATATTTTAGTAACCTTAACTAATTCTTTAGTAATTAAGAGCTCATTTCTGCTGGTGGAATATTTTGTAGAATATATATGTACTTATCTATTATATATACACACATATCTCACTACATTTATTTATTTTGGTACCAAGGATCAAACTCACAACCTCATGCTTGTGAGGCAGGCACTTACACCACTGAGCTAAATCCCTGGCCTAACATACACATATATCATTGTCTTTTTTTATTCCCTCAGTATTTTTTATTTACTTCCTCTATTCTTTATCTCTCCAAACCATTCACATATCCTTTTTGATCCATTTTGTACATACAACCATTTTTTACTCTTATTTCCGTTGCCTATTGATCATCTGTTTTTCTCCTGTGCTCGTGTACATGGATATGTATGTATATGTGTATGTATATATCTATGTCGGTTACATGTTGACATAAGCATGTCATAAAGGGATATTTTTGGTTGTAGTTTTTTAAAAGCCTAGTATTTATATAATTTTTAAATTGCATTTTGCTAATTTATAATGTACTATAGAAATGCCACCAAGTCACCTAAGAATATGATTGCATTGTATTAATTGGTTGAAATATATTGTAGGTTTATTCAGCCATTCTTGTAATAATTGAAATACTTCTTTGTAGAGACAAGAAATTGAAAATAAACAATTTATATATATATCCTTATGTACAAGTAATTTTATTTCTATAGAGTAAATTCTCAAAAGTAGAATTACTAAGTTAAAAGTTGCAAAATCTTTAAATTTTAATATATTGCTAGTTTCCTTTTCAAAGAAATGTCACATTTAGACCAATAAAATGTGATGATAATCTTTTAAAGAGATATCAATCTTTTCAATATCCTCTAAGGTGATTTGGCATTGTTAAAATGTTGTTTTATTGATTTTTAGTGTGTTTTTTGGGGAGGGGATGGTTTTTTTGAGACAGAGTCTCATAGTGTAGTTATGGGCAATCCTTGACCTCATTATGTAGCCCAAGATAGCCTTGAACTTGCAGCAGTCCTCCTGCTTCAGCCTCTGAAATGCTCTGTGCGCCACCATGCCTGACCATACTTCTAGCATGTTTGAATGTTTTGTAAACTTAATTCCTTGGATTTTCTGCTTCTTGACATGTCAAATATATTTTTCCTGATTGAATTGCTTAGTTTAGTTTTTACCAAAGTAGGAAAATTTTAATTTTTTACATTTATCTTTTTTGTGTGTTTGTTCCTGGCCTTAAGAATGTGTATATAACCTGTTTTCTAAATTTTGTTATAAAATATGCTGATGTGTGTGGGTTTTTTGTTTTGTTTTGTTTTTTACCTTTATATTTCATCTGCCTGGAATGTGAATACATTGAAGACAATTCAGTCAGTAGTGTTTTCAGTGGAGTTTCTTTATATTTTACATCTATTTTGGGGGACAGATTTTGTTTTTAAATCAACAGGGAAATTACAGCAAGAACTTCATTAATGCTACATTTTAGGATACATAAATGTGAAAGATTTCTAACTTTACCTTGTATATTTCACATATATCATTAGTCACTGTTAGACATTTTGGTTTTGCATTGCTAAATGTACATTTTAATGAGTTTTTTTTTACACCAGCATCTCTAATTTTTGTCTAATTTGTAATCTTAACTTAGAGTTAATAGGAATAGTTGTCTATATAGATTATACTTTGAAACTACTAATAAGTTTAGTTGTTACAATTTTTTGTTTCCTAGTCCATTAATAGATTTCAGTTTGTTTGTTTGTTTTAAAGACCTGTGTATAAATGGAATGGGTCAGAGTGTCTTCATTGCCAGTGAAGCAGTGGCAGGTGGAAGTACTAGACCCCTCTGTTGTTAATGTGCACTGTATTTGGTCCTCTGAAATGTAACAGGGCTGTTTAAAGGTAGTTTGTGAAGTGCTTCACCATCCTATTTAATTTTTTTTAAAAAGTAATTACCATTATCCCTGTTTTACAGATACAGAAATTGAAGTTTAGGGAAATGTAGTCATTCACAATTATGTTAACAGGAACAAAAAATAATGTACTTATAATTAGATCCCAAAATTTGCCAAATTGAGACATACCAGGGCTTATCGTTTATAGGATTCTTTGTGAATGCTCTGATGTTATTATTGAAGCATTATCTTAAATGTCAGCACTGTGTTCTACTGCATGTTTAACTCTTTCTCTGAGTGGTTGTTGATAGTGAATTAAACTTCAAGGATATAATTTTCTTTTTTTTTAAAGGGGAATATTTTCCATTCTTACAAGTTGAGGTAAAAAATAAATAAATAAAGTGGAATATTTGAAAGGCTACCAATATTATTTTCTTTTTTTTAAACTGCTTCAAACCAATATTCCATTTCAAAATTACAAAATGATTTTAGAAACATGATTAGCTAATATTAACTCTTACTACCTGTAAGTTAATACAGTTAAATATTTTTTTAACCCTTGAGTAACATTAAATTTTCTCAATTTTCTATTTTTTTTTCTACAGAATGCTAAAAAACGTTGATCATCTCTGGAAAGGATATTGATCCGCCTCATGTAAAGTATGCTCAGTTCCTTTCCAGTGGCGTAAGTATCTAGTCCTGTTTTTATCCTCTCAATTGGGTTAATAAAGAAATCATGATGGTTATGATTAGTATCTGACAACAGACATTTGTAGAGTTGAAAGAATTTTTAAGAAAAAGAATCAAATGTTGTATCAATTTGATACTGAAGTGAACAACTGTCATAATCCTATGGTGAAGAATGAATTTTCAAATCAATCTCTGTTTGTCATTCCTGGTTTCAGCTTTGGATTTTGATATTAATTTCCCATTCAACATAAAATTACTATCATTTTTAACTGCTTAATGGCCTTGTAAGATAGATAGCTAACTGTCAGAGAACACTAGTGTAGACTATGAGAAAGAGAATGCTGGAAGCCTGTTAGCTTAGTGCTGCCTTTTTGTATGCAAACTCTTTACAACCTATTTATTTTTCTTTAGCTACTAAGGTTGGAAATACAGTTAAGCCTATTAGCTAATGTAGTTGCTAACCTTTTTTTGAAGTCAGACCAAAAGAAAAAAATACAAAACAAGGTGGTAATATAATGCTAAGAGCATTTTTGTGCTAGAATATGAACTGTAACCACCAGTTCATGTTAAGTAACTCCGTAATACAAGTATTCTGGGAACTTCAGATATTACATTAAGTACATCTTTAGAGTCTAGTGCAGAGTGTCTTCAGCATAAATATTTTCTAAAATTTGGTAGAATCTGCTTCACTTAAATTTTTTCCATTTTGGTTGACACTTCTATAATCCAATTAAGAGATAGAGGTTTTCTATATTGTTTAGGTTCTCATTAAAGTCAGTCCCAACACTCAGTCTTTGATTTAGTGAAAAGTTTCTGGAATAAGCCTGTTTCTCCTAAGTAGCTGTGTCCTTGAGAAAGTACTTAATCTTGGGGCTGGAGATTTAGCTCAGCGGCATAAGTGCCTGCCTTGCAAGCAGGCAGTCGTGAGTTGATCCCCGGTACCGATAAAAAGGAAAAAGACCAAAAAAAAAAAAAAGTACTTAATCTTTTTGAGCCTCGGTTCCCTTTTCTTAAAAAAAATTTTTTTTTCCATCTTTTTGACATAGGGTCTTACTATGCAGTTCAGGCTGGCCTTGGGCTCACTTTGTAGCCCAGGCTGGTCTCAAACTTGCCACAATCTGCCTGCATCAGCCTCCTAAGTGCTGGGATTACAGGAGTATACTATCACTCCTGGCTCTTAAATCATTTGTTTACCAGTAGGTGTGCTCAATATCCAATATGTTGTAAGCATCATGAAGACAAGAATTTTTGCCTGGTTTGTTTCTCATTGCGTCCTCTGTGACACAGTCCAGAGGACCTCACATGTAATTGAAACTCAATTGAATAAACAATTTTTACCTAAGTGGTCTCCTGTTCCCTGATTTCACAACAAATTTATATCTCCTTTTATAAACTTAGATATTGCTACTTGGATTTTGTCACGTAAGGTAGAAATATGGAGATGTTCAAAGTTTGATTTCATAAATCACATTACTTATTGGCATAGAAAGAGAATTTTTTCTTCAGATTCCCAGTGCCTAACCATGTGGAGGGAGATTCATGAGAACAAAACTCATAGGAAATGCACTAATACACAAGGACTTTTAACCACTAGTGAAGGGAGTACCAAAATTATCCAAGTCTAGTTGCTCATTTAGGATGGATATTGACTTCTGTGGAAAGTCTAAGATGAGATATACCTTTGTAGGAGCGGTTCTCACCTTGACCACCACAATGGAGATCAGAGAAGACTGGAGGACACATAAGTTCACTCCATAGTAGAGGGCACTGCTGTTGTTGGCAGGTGAGGCTTCAACACTCTGAGGTCTCTGACAGCTAGAATTATCAAAAGAATCTATCAAGCTCCCGAGTTTATGTGTATTTTTGAAGTTAGGGAGTCATCCATAATTCACATGAAGGGGTTTGCTGGGGTGGGTAGCAACATTCCTGAAAGAAGAGAGAGTTGATAAGGAAAAAGAGATAAGACTCCAAGACCTCACATATAAGGGTGTAATGAGACTTAATATTTTCAAGATAAGAAGGAGTAGCTCCAAGTTCTCATGTAAGATCTGGTAAGACATCACACGCTGGAAGGGATAAAGGAGTACTTCTTATAGCAGAACTTATTCTTATAGCAGAACATATACCATGTATTATTCATAGAGCAAAATCAGTATTTGGAGCCATTTCAGAGATGCTAACAGATTTTTCCCCCAAATGTCCATAAGATGACTACAGTAAAGGGAAAAAACTCAATCAGCAATAATTGTAAAACTATTAAAGTGTGATTGACACATTATGGGCCTTACCTGTTTCATGGTCTCTACTTTATGCTTCAGTTAGTACTGCCTTGATTTGAATTATAGAATCTTTTTTCTACACTGTTAATCTCAGTACCTAATGAATCTTCATTTCTTACTGTTTTTCACTTCTTACCTTTTTTCTTATTTTAAAAGTTCTACTCTTTTGGCAGTAGTAATAACTGAGAGACCAGCATGCTATAAATAGTAAGGTCTGGGTGCCTCTTCAGCTGATGAATATTATTATTGACTCTAGAATGTGTTAAATCATCCTGCAGTAAATACCACATGTACAAAACAAAAACTTTTGCCTAGTCATTCTACATAAAAAGATAGAAGCATCAGAATCTAGTTTAAGAATAAAGCTTTCTTATCCAGTACAACCTTACTAACTGTTGGTACTTTACAAGTAAGGTAGTAATGACCTTTTTTGCCCATGGAATTTCAGGGTTGATCATTTGTGAATGCTTTAACCTCTTTGCTTTACATGTTTGTGGGATTTGGTTTATAAAGTACATATATTGAGGACCTCATTCTTTATCCAAGAAGACTGAAGTAGTGTTAAAATTTATTGGAAAATATCATTAATCTCATGATACAATCTAAGGCATTAGTTTATGAACTGAACCATAATTCTTGAATTTAATTGTTCTTTAACTTTTAAACATTGTCTGTTATTTCAGTGTTAAAATTCTTCTCGTTTTCAATTATTGTTGAACTGAACCTGCATTCAGGTTAGTAATTTAAAGTGAAAAATGTGGCTTGTCCTGTGATTAATCCTTGTGTACAGAAAAATTAATTCAATTCTTTCATGCTATCTTTCCTTTTTGTATAAAAATTTTTGAACTTAGATGACCTTTATAGGTCATTTACTACTGTAATTTTCTGATTAAGTGCTTAATGTAGGTACATTATCATAAGAAAATTTGAAAATGGCACAGTATATGCCTTTGCTGATGTTAATGCACATTGCATTATTATTCTCAATATCCAAGACAGCTTCTAATCTTGGTATTTTCTCAGTAAGATATTGTTATCTTCAGTATCATGCATGTTTTGATCCTGCTCTTTATGCTGTCATTCCACTCTAGAGTGATCATCCATTCCATTCCATTTTAGTATCTGTGAGTGTTTTTGCTTTACATGTGTCTTTGGATTAGGGACCTCTCTTTACAAGTTATAAACATATAATTTAAACAAGGTAAACATAAAGGGAGGTTTATTCTATCAGAATAGAAGAACAGGTATGTATAAGGGTTAGGAATTACTGGAACATCTATTGAGAATTTTCTCCTTGGTAATATTCTATATTTCTTTCATTGTTCTCTCACAAACTAGCTTTTACACAGCAAAGAATTGGCCAGACTTAACATCTTCTTGCACCTGAGCACAGTTATAATGATAATCCCATTTACCCCTAATCTAACAAAATCTGAAGAGGGTAAAACTTGGTCTTCTTGTATGCCTACACATTTCACAGAAGATGAATGTTACTGAGTGCCAGTCCCAGAAGATATTCTTTAAAACAATAACTTGTTCTAGGAATAAAAAGTAATAAATGACCACTATTTCTCCTTTTGTGACTTTTGGAATAAGAATAACTTCCAATTGTCTGTGATTCCAAAATGATATAAATTATTGTTTCAGATGCTTTAGTTTTATCATTTCTATTTTAAACATTAGGATGGGTGCTTTTCAATAATTGATGGAATTCATATGATTTACTTTTATTTTATGCTAATACACAGTGCTCTTCCATACAAGGAGAGACTTGAAGAATTGTACAGAAATTACTATCTGCTCTGATATAAATAGGATAGAAAAATATCATGCTTGCTTTTTTGTCCATATTGTAAGATAATTCTTTTTTTTTTTTTTTTTTTTGTCTTTTTCCTTTGTATTGGTACCGGGGATCGAACTCATGACTGCCTGCTTGCAAGGCAGGCGCTTATGCCGCTGAGCTAAATCCCCAGCCCCTAGGACTAAGGTTTTAAGTAGAAACTAAAGTGTTAAGTGTCTTATATAAGCTGTTAAGAAAATGTCCACGTAACTTTTTCAAGAAACTTTTCATTTACGTAAAATACACTTTTGAAGTACATAAATCAATAGCGTCTTAACTTTGATGAAATTCCAAAGAGAATACACCTGTGTAATACAATGAGCATGTAGATCAAGGTAGAGAAAACTAGTAACCCTACATAACATTTTACGTTTACACTGAGTCCAGGGCCTTGCACATGCTATACAAATTCTCTACCACTGAGCTGCATCCTCAGCGCTTTTGATTTTTTATTTTGAAACATAGTTGAAGTTACCCAGGCTCGTTTTAAACTTGTAAGTTAGCCTCCCAGAATGCTGGGATTACTGATGTGTGCTACATACTGGGCTGAAATTTTTGGTATTAAACAAAGTACAGAGAATTTTTTTAACTTGGTCAGGAGAAAATGAGTGAGTCAGTCTGGTTGCAAGTTTTTTTCCTGTTGCAGAGAGGTGATGATATATTATGAGAGGGAGCTAAAAAGAAAATCTTGAGACAGTGGTTATAATAACCATTTAAAATAGCTAATACAGTTACTGGATACAATCCTTATGTTCATCAGCAGAATGTATAAGTAAACCTGTGGTCTAGTTCCACAGTGAAATACTCCATAGCCATAAAAAGGAACAAGCATGCTAAAATGTACGTCATCTCTCTCTTTTTTTTTTATCTACCGGGGATCGAACTCACGACTGCCTGCTTGCAAGGCAGGCGCTTATGCCGCTGAGCTAGATCCCCAGCCCTACAATGTCATCGCTGAATCTCAAATACTTTAAGCTCGATGAGATTTACACACGCTAGTCAATGGTGGTTATGGATTGAAAACGTGATCAACTTCACACCAGCTGAATTAAATTGGCATGATGCTGCATGTAGATGGCCCACCTGAGGAAAGTTGCCAGCATAAAAGATGTGGCGAGGAAGAACAGGACATTGTGGATTCTCCTAAGTGTTGTTGATTGGAGCTGTTGGTTCTCCTGGAGGAGCTTGTCGTGCTCCAGTGTAGAACCCCAATATGAATCCAGCCATTATCATTGGAGTAGCTCAGGACCTTGTCGCTGAGAGTGGCTGTGGTTCACGTTGGGAGAGATCTGCTCCTTACGTTGAGATGCGTCCTGGCTCTGAAGGGGAAGATGTGTGCTGTTTAATCTCCAGGAGAAGCTTGTCACACTGGCTTCCTGACATGTACTCTACTGTTCTTGTCTGTGGAGGAACTTGGGATCTCATTGTTGCTGTGGTGCTTTTCAGGGCAGCTCTGGTCCTTATTTTGAGTGTCACTTGGCTCCATTGTAGACCCCCCACCCTTACTAGCATAGAGCATTCACCCAGCTGGCATAGACTTTCTAGCTTCCACTGTTGACCTGTGGGCCTTCCCACTGCAGATCCATAAAATAGACTAGCATGAGTCATTGTTGTGGACTCTAGACCTCCAGGTGGACTTGTGGGAGGCATTGTCATGGACTCTAGGTTTTCAGCTAGACTCATGCAGGACATTGCTACGGGATCCAGGCCCTCAGCTGGATTTTCTAGGTCTTTAGTGTTGAGGACAGATTTCTTGCACTTTGTTGTATTTAACTCTGGGTGACCATCATAAAAAAAATATTATAAATCCTGTGTCCTGTTTGTAGTTGTTCTCCTTGCAACTCCTGACTAAAATAAGAGTATAGATAAGGGTTTGTAAGATAAACTATCATGTGGGAAATATTGAACAGTGATTGCTTCTGAGGGAAAGGAACAGGGATTAACAAGGAGGATGCCAGAGGGCACTTCTTGAGTGATGGAAAATACTCCGTATCTTCAGATGGACTCCAGTTTCAGTTGGTGTGTACTTCTCAAAACTCTTCAAAGGGTAGGCATAAAATATATTAAATAGGTTAAAATATGTTTAAGAGAAAACAACCAGACCAAATAGTAAGCTCTAGTAATGACATACATGCCGAAGTGTTTAGAGGACAGTGTACCAATGTCTGTAACTGATTTTGCAGTGCATCTAAAAATGAATGGATATATATGTATTGGTTCAAATAATTGTAAAAAGAGAAAAATAAATTTTAGGTAGTATATGGGATGTTCACTATAAATTTAACTTTTTTATATGTTTAAAATTTCTCATAAAATGGAAACTATACTGAGGCAATCAAAACTGAAACAATAATCATGAAAACAGGTCTTTGTTTTATAATGGATAATTTGACACAAATGAGTATTGGAAGAAAGCAGATCATAATGTGTCTAATTGCAGAGCAGATATTGGGGCCCATAGGTGCAGATGATCTGCTGCATGTTTGTATTCCTAAAATGTGTGTTTAAGTCTAATTTTTATTGAGTCTATTTTTAAAACAAGAATGTCACATAAAAATTCTGCCTGCTTATTTTAAAAAATATTTGGAAACCAAAACAATCATTGAAATGAAGTAGAGATTCCAAAAGTTACAGATTCATATGGAAATTTTGTATATGATAGAAATTGCATTTCAGATCAGGGAAGAAGTGCATTATTCAATAAAGCATATTGGACAACTAGCAAAGAAATAAATTCTAAATCCTTTTGCACTCATGAAGTAAATGTAAATTCTAAAATTGAACTGATGTTTTAATTGTTAGGACTGCTAGTTCCTCAATCAAGTGACTTTATGTAAACTATTTTAACTGAAGACTTAAAGGAGTACAACAGCCTATATCCTGAATCCTTTCATTCTAGTAAGTCCTACAGTGTATTGGCAAGCAAAATAATATGTAGTTTTGGAGTTAGTAAGATGTAAGCTTAAAATACATTTTTCTGCTTTTGATTCTGATTTTTTGCAAGGTTCGAAAATATTCTGAGCCTCAAGTTTCCTTACAGTGAATACATCAGCATGAAATGAAATAAAATTAATATGTACCACAGGGAGTTACTCTGAAGATTAGATGATACTATATTGTATGAAATTCTTTTCTAATTTCAGCCTAGAAATGAAGATTCAGTAAATTCTTAGTACAGTATAGAGGAATGGAGAAACAGAACGACAGCAGGTTAAGGGGCTTGGCCTAGATCACACATGAGAGTATTACTTGACTTCTGTTTCTCTTAGCAAATATTTATTGAATATGTACAGCTATTTTAAAGAAATCAAGAGACACTATAGTAGTCACTGATTTCCTATTATCTTGTTCTGAAGTCTTGTATCCCTTTCTTTTTCCCCTTGGTATTCGGGGGTCAAACTCGCAAACTCTCACTGGCCAGGCAGGCTGCTGAGCTATCTCCCTGGCCCATGTATTGCTTTCATTGTTCTGTTCTGATTGGCTTTATTCTGTTTTATTTTGTTTAGTTTTATTCTCTTTAAAATTAAAAAAAATTATTGAGTGCCAGCTGTATGCCATGAATCCTGTTTGGTGCTAGAGCAATAAAAATTAAAATAGAAAAGATTACTACCTTTTAAAATCTTGTATTCAGAAAATCAGGTTGTATTTAAAAGTGTATCTTAAGTAATAAAAATTTTTATGATTTAGTATTTCTGTTGAACTAAATGTTGTCATTCACTCTGAGAAGACATTTTCTGGTGTGCTTCAGTATCTTGTATTAGTTAACAGCAGAAATGTAGAAGCAATTTCCTAAGAAAAATGAGTAGCTTCATTTGGCTACAACCACAAAAGATCCATTTTCAGGGTAAACATTAAGAGAAGATGCATAGATTAAAATTTAGAAAATTGCTAAGTAGTGAATGAAGTCGTGCTTATTAAAGTTTTTTTGTTATTATACCTGTCTTTTTCACTTAAATGTCTTTGCTAGTTATTAATATTTGCTTGGGCTTAGCCAAGCAAATCATTTGTTTTTACTGAATTGAGTTACAGTAGTTTAGGTCAGTTTTGCTCATGCTTACTCTTAAGCAAGATAATAAATACTGTTTTTTTAGCAGCTTTCCACTGATACTGTATTGGAGTATAGTTTAGTTAAAAAAGATTATGGATAGTCTCTACTGCACCTTATGTACATAATTTGTTGTTTGGTTATCACTGTTTAAACTTTTAGTTCCAATGTTGACGGTGTAAATTATATGCTATAATTGTTGCCTCATATTATGTCTTATGTCATTCTACTAATAAACTCAGTGTTTGCACCAATCTATTATGACAAGTTTAGCATAGGACATATCTTACTATTTTTAATAAAAATGTTGATATAGAAATAATGCATCTGCTAAATATTTTCTATAATAGGTTCTTTGGTAGATGTCAGTTAAGAGACTTTCCCCTTTTTATCTTTTTTTCTTCTTGTTTTTAGTTTGCTGGAAACCATGTCTCACTATACAGATGAACCCAGATTTACCATAGAACAAATAGATCTACTTCAGCGCCTACGGCGTACTGGAATGACTAAACATGAAATTCTCCATGCCTTGGAAACTTTGGACCGTCTTGATCAAGAGCATAGTGACAAGTTTGGAAGAAGGTCCAGCTATGGAGGAAGTTCGTATGGGAACAATACCCACAATGTTCCAGCATCTTCCTCCACAGCTACAGCTTCTACACAGACCCAGCATTCGGGAATGTCCCCATCACCGAGCAACAGTTATGATACTTCCCCACAGCCTTGCACTACCAATCAAAATGGAAGGGAGAACAGTGAGCGATTATCCACATCCAATGGGAAGATGTCACCAACTCGCTACCACGCAAATAGCATGGGTCAGAGGACATACAGCTTTGAAGCCTCAGAAGAGGACCTAGATGTAGATGATAAAGTAGAAGAACTAATGAGGTTAGTAACTTTGCTTATTCTGAGTTTCCAAAATAACTATATTATTAGATTGCTTTTGAGTAGTAAGCCGTATTTTAGTCACTTACCTTGCCTCTAAGAACTGTTATTTCTCCCTCACTTCTTTGGAAAAGAAATAAAAAATATAAATTCTATGTTTTTAACTGAAATTTTCTCTTCTCTACTTCAGCCCTTTTTACTACTTCATAACCCTTTTCTATTTTGCCTTTTTATCAAAGAGTAACCTTCTCTTTATCGCTCTAGCACCAAGGTTGTGACTAACAGAAGTTAGTCTACTCTTTAAGTCTTTCTGAGTACATTCCTGAGGGATAAGGTAATTTTATCATGCTATGTATTATACTTCCTTTTTCTCTTTATCATTCCAATAAAAAAGTAATTTGAGCAAGTATTACATTAAGAAATAATTTTTAAGATGAAAATTAGTGTTTCTGCCCCAAAGAAGCGAAAGTTCTAATTTTTGCAATAGCTGTAACACCCACAGGCATGCATGCACACATGTGTACACTTGAGGGTTTTAAACACCTGAGAAAAGAAACCTGTTTCCAACAGAGGAATTAAGAAAAGCTTCATACCAGATTTGCAACACTGAGTGTATCAGCCCTGTGTTTCTCATGGTTGCTTGTTTAGAACCTACAACTTACTTTAGCACATAGTTACCACTTAATTTTTTGAGTGGATGAATTTGACTTAAGGTTAAAGGTAGCCTCTGTTTTGAAATATAGAAACTTTGTTTAAAGCTAAGAGACTCCTAGAAGGTGTCAGAGAAGGCAAGGCATATTTTCAGCCTGATGAAAGGCTGAGTTACTTCCTCAGCCCCAGATGTTGCTTGTTTTTGAATTTAGTCTGTCATCGTGGAAATTAAAAGGGAGGCCCATTTGGCCAAATGAAAGTTTTTTCATTCATTGGAATATAGAAAGACGTGCTTTTAAATTGTCCTGAATAGAGTGTTTAAGCAGAAGAAGTAGTTTTTCAATTATATGTTGTTGCTATTAATTTTTGATAAGCTTATATATAATAATCCCCAAATGTGTATTACATTAACAAGAAGTACAGGGGCTGGAGGTTTAGCTCAGCGGCATAAGCTCCTGCCTTGCAAGCAGGCAGTCGTGAGTTCAATCCCCAATACCGATAAAAAGGAAAAAGACAAAAAAAAAAAAAGTACAGAAAATTGTCTTCATCTTTTGTGTGTGTTTGTGTGTGTATGTGTGTGTGTGTGAGACAAGGTATTTTTAGGTAGTCCAGGCTGACCTTGAACTCCTTATGTAATAGCATAGGTGTTGCTCAAATTCTTGATCCTTCTGCCTCAGCCTCCTAAGTACTGGATTACAAACATTTGCTACCATTAAGTTGTCTTTTTAACAGAATACTTGCTAAAAAGTCTAATAAGAGTTTAAATACTTGACTTTTAACATGTAGTTGGGCCTGATGCGTTATTTAAACTACAGTAATACCTTTGTTGTCAGACTCAGTTAGTTTCAAATTCATGTTCAGACACCAAAAAGTTTAAGAACTAAACATATTTTTCCCACAGGAAATAATGGAAAATGAAATAATTAGTTTTAAGGCCCACAAATTACACTTACAAATTCATTTCTATAGTACTTTTCCAAATTTCACAATATTTCTTTCTTTATTGTGATTCTCAGAGTTCTCTTAGCTTTACTGCTGGTATCAACTTTCATTGGAGCCATGGTTATGATATTTTACGTGAATAAAATGCACAAACAAAAAAGCACACTGATAAATGTTTTAACACACTAACATAAGCACTATATGTTATCTGAAGCATCACACCTCTGTGTTTGTGGCAAGACACCAGATGTACAGATCTTTTGAAGTCAGATTTTCAGTTTGACTGTGAAGCAAAATTTTGAACACCAAGAAGTTTTCCAGACTTTACTGTTCAAGTAATAGAAAGTTTGAGCTTGGAGCTGTTTGACAACCAAGTTATCTCTGTATATCTCAGACAGAACACCTGTTAGCAGTGACTAAGATTTGTAGTTCAATCCTATAATTACACTCATTTGAGTTTCAGTATTTACTGTATATAGTTTATATGTTGTAATTGATATTTAATTTGTGTACGACAGCTTGTAGTACAATTAGGATGCTACCTTCTTCATAATCAGGATACTACTTCTTCCTTTTCCCAGCTTTCTTAGGACTGCTCCTCCTCTGGTGTCCTTTAATTACACAGGGGTCTCCTTGGACCTTCTTTCTGGCCCTCTGCCATTGTACCTTCCTCCACTCCAGCACTTAAGCTTTCCTCCAATTTGCCTCTCCTCTTCACTCTTTCCAATCCCCACAGCCTCTGAGTATAATTCTTCTTAGGTCAGAAAGAGAAGTTTATGGAATGACTGTTCTTACTTTTAATTATTATAACCATGTTGTAAATTTAATCTGGAAAATTGAGATTCATAAAAATAAGTTATTTGCCCAAGTAAACTTGGATATTAGGTACCATAGCCGGAATTACAACTTATATCTTTATTGTGTATATTGCTTTATTGTCTGTATTTTCTCTGTTAATAAATTATTCGTGTTTATAGGTTTTAATAAGACTTTAGAAAAATAGTTGAGAGTATAAATAGATTAGCCTTGCAACTTTCCTTCCCCATAAATTTACCACTTCAAATCACTTACTACTCAGAAGAATTTTTATTTGATGGGATGTTAGAGATACTCTTTGAACAATATATGTTCTCTACCCGCCTACAGATATACTGCCCTTGCTGACCCCTCCACACCCGTGATATTAGAATGAAGTGGAACTGGTGATCTCTAGTGGGAAACATGGGTCCCTGGATGCCTTCCTGCCTCCATTTTTTTGTATATAAAATCTACCTCTTGCTCACATTCTCCAACCTCCAAGGCATTTATCCATAAGTCATATGTTTCCAATCTCATAATCCAGTAATTCTTTAGTGAATTACAATAATTTCAAGATATGTAACAGAGGTTTCTTTGGAGAACCTCATCAAGTTATAACTGTGCCTCATCAGCTTGCTAAGAAAGAGTCACAAAGAAACAAGGAACTGCTATGTTGCCATTTTTTAAAATAAGAATTAAATAAAAAGAAAGGCCAGCTAGCATATGAATTCCCAACCAATTCTGGTTTTGTTTTAAAAAGAAGGGGTTTATTTTGGCGTTTGTTAGTAAGTCATAGAATACAACATTTTAGGAAGGACTTTAAATTTAGAATGAAGGCTTGTTTCACATTTTAATTTCTTAAAAAGTATATTTACTAACATAAATATATGTATAGGAGGGTGTGTTTATATCTGCTCATATAATAAGTATACATTTAATGTTTGCTCTATTATGTATGTATTATGAAGTGTATCAGAATGAATAGTACTATACATAAAGTATGTTCTTTCTACCTCTGTACTAAATTTTATAATTATGTTAGTGGCTTGGAGTTTTTTGTGTTGGTTTTGCTGTTCTGGGAATTGAACCAGAACCTTGCACATGCTAGGAAAATATTCTACCACTGAGCTACATCCTAGCCCTTTTCTATTTTATTTTGAGACAGGGCCTTGCTAAGGTACACAGGATAACCTCAAACTTACAATCCTCTTGCCTTGGCCTCCCAAGTGGTTCTCCCTAGCTAGTATGTTTGTATTTCTTACAAAATTCTGAGACTGTTTTCTAGTTGGTTGTATAGACTTAACAATAGACTATAGATTGAATATTCCTGGACTCTGAAATGCTCCAAATTCAAAACTTTGTAAATACTTTTATGATGCCACCGGTGGAAGATTCTTGAAACCTATCTACACATTCCAAAACACCCCAAAATTCAATATCTAAAACACATCTCATTCTGTGCACTTCAGAAAAGGGATACTCAGCCTGTATTTATGTGTGTGGGTAGGATATTTCTGTTCTATGGGTAGCAAGATGAACTGTTAGGATATATAAGAACCATGTTGATGATAATTTGTAGTGTTATCTTTTAAAACTACACTTTGTGTATCTTCATGGGGGAAAAATTACAGGAGTGTTTTCATTCAAGTGTGAAAGACATTTGTATGTAATTGTATTTTTCAGATTATGAAATAGACCATCTTGATAAATATTGCTTCATGTCTTGGTGTTTTTTGAAATAGGTGACAACTTTTAAAAATCCTAAATGAATTTTTAGTTTATATTAACTAAGAGACTCAGATCTTAAAACATACCATATTTAAACATGTGGACTTTAGTATCTTTTTTTGTTTTGTTTTGTTTTTTTGGTACCGGGGATCGAACTCATGACTTTGCGCTTGTCATGCAGGCACTTATGCCGCTGAGCTAAATCCCCGGCCCCTGGACTTTAGTATCTTTTATTTGAGAAAGTAAAGCAGTTTCATTTTGAACTGCCATAAATAAATAACTCCTTCTATTTTTACTTGAGAAATTTAAAGATAGTTGAAAATAAGAATTTAAAGCTGTTTTATAAATTATCTAGATCAGATTTTCCATTTACAACTTTTTGTCTCTTGATTTGTTTGCTCATTTCACAAATTTTTATTATATGCAAGCCCCATGATGAATAAGAAATAATCTTTGTGCTAAAGGACTTTACAGACTAGTAGGAAAGATGTTACAGAGTAGAAACAACTATAATATAATACAGAATAGTGTGTACTACTATATTAGCATGTGAATAGTGTAATTAAAATATTAAAAATAGCCATTTGAAATGAGGTCTTTGTTAGCTGTAAAGATCGAGAAGAACTCAGAACAGATGACAGTTAAATTGTCTTTTTTTTTGTCTTTTTTGGATCGAACTCACGACTGCCTGCTTGCAAGGCAGGCGCTTATGCCACTAAGCTAAATCCCCAGCCCCTAGTTAAATTGTGTCTTAAAGGTGATTTGACAGAGACATTGCTCATGAATTTCCTCAGTTATGGAGAAAGTTGTATACGTAACAGTGGAAAGTTTAGCAAGTTAAAAAGTTTAACAAATTATTGTTGGCAATAGGGAATGGCAAGGAAGAATTTCATCTTGATGTGGAAGTCCCCACATGAATCTGACATGGTGAGTATTTGAAAAAGTAGCAAGAAAAGATGGCATGGACTACAAGTGGTGAGATGCAAATCACAGGATAGCTGACTTGGAATTAAGCCATAAAATCAAAGAAGCAATCAGCCTGCTCTTCACTTTAGTTCGTAGACTTGAATACAGATTTTGAGTAGTCTAAGGTTTTATAAGTGAAAGGAAAAAGAAGAGATTCATTCTTTCTAGGGAAGACATTGAAGGGGAAAATGAAAGAATTAGATTTGGAATAAATAGTTTTCATACTAACTAGAAATTTTTTCAAAGGGTCAGGTCATCATACAGAGGTAGTGCAAGAGGCACATGGTTGAGGAAGACTGGATGAGGCAAAAGTAAAGAGAAATATGGGAAAGTTTAAAGAACAAAGAAAACCAAGTAGAATGGATTCTGTAATACTTAAGAGATTTAGATACAATGAAAGTTGAATACTGTTACTGTTTTGAAAACATCTAGTAAAACTAAGTAAATGACACATCACTACCTGTGTCTATATTGACCTTAGAGAGCTCTTTGCATGGTGCTTTAAAGTACCTTGTACTTGTCTTTTATTCTTTCTTTTCTTACCTTTCTTTTCTTCCTTCTTTCCTTCCTTCCTTCCCTCTCAGCCACTCCAAGGCCTTTGTACTGAGCTACATCACCAGCCCTTTGAGTTTTATTTTGAATAATAGCATTTATGAAGCAGTTTTACAATTTTGAAGTGTTTCACATTGAAGAATATTTTATGTATTATGCACATACATGTATTCATTTTAAAAATATTCATTGTTTAACTTCATTGCCTTGGGTAGGCTTTAAAAAACTTTTTGAAGGGGATATTTTACCTACAGAGGACAGCAGAGTGCAACTTTATTAATTCACTTGCCCATGCATAGCTTTTATTCTTGTTTATTTGTTTAGACAGTGCCAGAGATTGAACCCAGGACCTTGTACATGGTAGGCAAGCCTTCTACCATTGAGCTATGCTCCCTGGTTCCTCTTATCTTTTAAGTCTTTTTCTGATTGTGTCTGATTACTGAAACTTCTCTCTGGTAAAACAGAGAGAGAGAGACAAAGAGAGAGACAGTATGTGTGTGTGTGTGTGTGTGTGTGTGTGTGTGTGTGTGTGTGTGTAGCTTATTATAGGTACATTAGAAACTTCTAGAATATCTGAAAATATAGTCTATAAGATGGTAGGTGAAATTGCTATTTTATAGACCTGGGATTCCTTACTTCAGTCCATAATTTACTATAAGACTGAATAATTTACAACCTAGATATTCTTTATTCCTTACTGAAATAATCTCTTATGTTAGGAGAATTTGATTTAAAATAGTTTGATTTATATTCTAATTTAAGCCAATAGTCAATAAAATACCATTTGCTTATTTTTCTGCACAAAAACACATTTTTGTCTCCATCCAATACATCAGGATGTACTGTAAAGGTATGGAGAGGAAATTCATCACCATTACCTCTCCTCCCAAAGAGGAGCATGGAGTCCACTGAGTGTGTAACTCCTCCTCATTGGGGTCTGAAGTACCTTATCTAAATTATGGTTCAATTTTTTGGGGTTAGGTATTTTTTTCCAGTTAATCTACAGAGCAACTTAAACCTCTAGAAAGAATTAATGGTTTGGAGCTGGGGATTTAGCTTAGCAGCATAAGCACCTGCCTTGTAAGCAGGTGGTTGTGAGTTCGATCCCCGGTACCGATTAAAAAAAAAAAATTAATGGTTCATTCACAGTTTGTGAAGATATGTTTTGTTTTGATGGTACTGGAGATCGAACTCGAGGCCCCTCTACTCCTGAGCTACATTCCCAGTTCTTTTTCAAGATAGGAGCTAGCTGAGTTGCCCAAACAGGCTTAAACTTGATATCTTCTTGCTTCCACCTCCCAGACTGCTGGGATTATAGGAATATATTATCGCACTTGACTTAATTTTTAAGACACAAAGTCTTACAACTTTGCTTGGTTGACCTTGAAATTAGAGTCCTTCTGCCTTAGCATCCCACATAGCAGGATTGCAGGCACGTGGCACTCTGCCAGGTTTGTGAAGGTTTTGTAATCCCTTTCTCAAATCAAAGATCAGCCAAGTTTTTCTGTAAAGAACTACATAGTAATCAGTCTAGACTTTGCAGATAGGAGACAAAACTGAAACCAAAGTGTAGATACTTATATACAGGAGAGAAACAAATAGCCACAACATTTTATTGACAAAGTTATATACAGAATAATAATTGAATAAAAATTTTTAAAATATAAGCCCATAGTTAGAATTACATAGGTTATAATATTTTACTTATTTATAAATGCCCCTCTGAGAAAAGGATTCTTATCTCAAAAGTTATGAAAACAGATGGCAGGACAGATTTAGCCTCTCGGCCATAATTTGCTGACCCTGTATGACAAATTATCACTGGTTTGTATTACTTCTGAGTTTGAATAAAACTGTTCTATTGTTGTATTCTTTATGAAGATAAAGTATTTGAGAAAATTTGGTCATTTTTAAGGATTTAAATATAATTTTTATTTAAATATTCTGTTCTTGTGGAGAGAAAAGTCTTGCCACTTGTCAATCTTCAGTATCTGATCTTTTGAGAATTTGTTACATTTTTAAGGAAGTAAAAAACTTTAACAACCTCTTGGAGAAAGGTTGGGATCTACCATATGTAATTCTGAGGACAGAGACCTTAGTGTAGCTTTGAGTATTAAATATTCTGTATATTATATACAGCAGGAAATGAAATGACTTTTCAGTTTTGAAGTTGAATACTCAGCCATCCCACTTTGCACTTTTTTTGTTTATACAGTGGGAGGGAGGAATGAGTTACATGATAAACCTTTTATTAAATGGCTCATATTTTTAGTTGTGAGAGTAATGATTTCTATTTCTGTAACTTTTAAAATATTTTAAATGAATTTTATTTAGTTAACATGCAAACCCACAAGCTTCTCACAACTGATTTTTATTTTTCTAGGATTTCTGTGTAAGATATATTCATTCCGCAGTAATAAACTTTATTTATTCCTTATCACAGCCCTGTTCCTAATGTGAATTAAATACAGCATGTATTTAACCATCCTCTGGTATGAGACTTAAATCTATGGTGGCATTCACTAAAATGTCTGTCTGGTGGTGTGATGTTTAGCACTTGAATATTTGGTGTTTCTTGGTTTGTTGTAATTTCATATTTTCATACAAGTTTGGTCTGTTTACCTTTTATTTTTGTGTCTTTTCTTTCTGTGTTCTCCCCACCTCTCTGCTACACCTTTCTTTTGGCAAAGATGAGGATTTCTGCCTTCAACATACATTGTTGGTCTTGTCTTCTGTTTTTGTTAGGAGGGACAGCAGTGTGATAAAAGAGGAAATCAAAGCCTTTCTTGCCAATCGGAGGATTTCCCAAGCAGTTGTTGCACAGGTAACAGGTAAGAGCTGAAGAGCCCTTTATTTTGGAGTCATATCTATTCTCTGCCTTCGGTGCAGATGTTGAATATTGCTTGCATTTCTGCATCGCACTGCAGATCTGTCAATTTAGGCATAATGTATGCCCGTGATTTAAGACCATTGTCTCTCATATCACGGAACTTCCCCAGTGATTTTTTTCTTGTGCTGGTAAATTTTATAGCATTCATAATAAGCAAAAAATTTCCTATTTAGTGACTAAAACAGCATTTCTCTTGTTTTCTTTTAATTGAAACAGCTTATGACACACGCATATCCAACTGCTATTTGCATTTCATATTTTTAAAAGCTTTGCAGTCCTTCAAATCTAATCCCTGATTTTTACCAGTTAAAAAGTGATTCATGAAGGTAAAGAAAGTTGTTTTTTTAACCACTTTTCTGTATGTGAATGCTTTTCCTCAAACGATTGCTGAGAAGATGAGAGTTACCATTGTCTTCTCTTTGTTCTTTATATCACATCCCATTCTCTACCCTAGTCCAAGCCCCATCCCTAGTATGTGGTGTATATATGTCACTCTCTATCCAGATTGCATTTTTTTATGAAGTTCTTAAATTTGGGCGTAGCATGTCTTTTCTTTGTTAGTATGTGGTCTTCCTTTCTTGGATTTTAATGATATCCCAAAATATTAAGCGTGCCTTAGTCATTAGAGAAAACAAACTCTTTCAACTCCATTTTGTAGATACTATATTGTACTTTTTACATTGGTAAATATAAAATCTGATTTCTCCCTCTTTCTTTTTAAACATGCCATGCATTAAGAAGTTATATAATGGATTTTTGGCCTCTATACCTTATTTGTCTTGTATTATTAAAACAGTTGGATCTAGTCTTCAACAGTACCTTACAATTTTAAGATACTCTTTTTCTTCTGTACACATTGATAGTTGAAACTTACATACCTGTAATGTTGCTGACCATTAGTTACATTAAAAATGAAACTTGAAATTTAGATGTGTTAAATTTCATTTCAAATATTTAAGCTCACCTAATGTTTTTGTTTGTTTGTTTTTGTTTTTGGTACAAGCGGTCAAGCTCACAACCTTGTACTTGGCCAGGCAGGTGTTTATGCCACTGAGCTAAATCTTCAGCCCCTTGGCTTTGGTTTTTGAGACAGATTCTCCCTATGTAGTTCACATTGGCCTTAAACTTACTATGTAGCCTAGGCAGGCCTTGAACTTGCAGTGATCCTCCTTCCTCAGCCTCCCAAGTGCTGGGAATGGAGAGATGCACTGCCATGCCCAGTTTCAAAATCTTTTATATGTGTATTACATTAGTAATATGTTTTATAAATGCCATTTGTTCATGATAAAAGACTTTTAAGACATACCCTTTCATAGAAGAGTCTTAAAACCAAAGAAGAATATATGATTTTAACTTGTTGTAGTCTCCAGGTTTTTTAAGAAAGATTTATTTTGGCTTAAATCCTTTTTTTTTGTTTTGTTTTGTTACTGGGGATCGAACTCATGACTGCGTGTTTGCAAAGCAGGCACTTCTGCTGCTCAGCTAAATTCCAAGCCCTTGGCTTAGATTCTTAATCTTCATCTTGAAGGATTATGGGGTTTAAGAGACCATATAAGGGCAAGTTATACAGATTTTAGTGAAACTCACTGATATGTTGGGCTATGAAAGACATGGAATGGTGCCTTTTTTGAACTTTTATTTCAGCTTCCATGATTAGAAGCAATACTGTCTTCTAAGTTTGCAAGCCTAAAAAAAAGACAAACAAAATTATAGTCTTATAGACCAGAATTACAAAGTTGCTTTATTCAGGTGGAAATATTTCTGAGTAGGTTGAATGCACTGAATCTTGAATCATCTTGGAGTTTTCAAACAGTGGCTTTGAAACCTATCCAGCATTGACATAAGTCATAATAAGTTACCTTTGAAAAGCACTAGATGTACCATAATGAGCTGAACATATTACATCAAATGTTGTCATTTTGGAAAGGAAAACTGGAAGATGTTTTCACATCTTGCTATTCAAAATGTAGTCCATGAAATAGTAGGATTGGTGTTATCAAGAAGCTTATTAGAATGTACTCTATACCTGTAAACATAGAATTTACATCTTTGTAAGATCCCAACTCTCAAGGTTTGAAAATACTTTTCTAGGAGACTGGTAAACTTTCCTGACCTTAATTTCAGTGAACTGAAATTACCTAACATTGCCTTGCTTGGTGATGTACTGATCTGTTTTTCAAAGCACGAACTGAAAAAGAAGTTCCTTAAAATGTGATTCTGGCTTCCTTTTTTATTACCATCTATTCAGTATACTTTCTGAGTTCAGCTTCTTTAAATTTTTAGAATTCTGTTCACTTGAATATTTCTAAATCCTCAGTTGTACCTAGTAGGCCTCATCACAGCTTTGTCAATTCCTCTTAACTAATATTACCTTTAGTTATTATCCTCATTTGGTTTGAATGTAATGGTAAGTATGATTAATTAGATCCAGTTCACTGACTTGAGGTTAGTACTTCTCTTAGTTATCATTTTAGTGAAATATTCTTCAAAGCTGTGACTTTTTCCTACATGTGCTGAGTACCGTGCACATGTACCATGAACATTTCACGTTTACCCAGTTACCTTGTAGAACTGCTTCATGATGCAAGAGGAGTATTGTACCACAAACAAGGAGTACACAAACTATACATGTGAAGAGTTGTCCAACATAACTTATCCAGGAGTAGTATTTGCTCAACAAATGCTGCAGGAAGTTATACCCATAACGAAGTTGCAATTTTCTTTTATCTGCAAAGCTGGAAAACGAGGGTAATTGGTAACAGATTCATTTTATTTGTTATATGGGTCATCTCACTGAATTCATGTGTTTCTCGCGTATTATTAAATATGTTATGATTTTTATCTAGCCTGTCCAGCTCTCAATCTAAGAGAAACAGAGCTCATTGCAGAGATGAGGTCTTGTTAGAGAATAGTGAATTAATGAGAACCTAAATGAAGTCTGGCCTCATAATTGATCCAGTGAGGATAAGGACTTTCCTGGATAAGAAAGCCATCTAGTCACCTAAAGCTTGTTCCCTGAAGTATCTTGGTATATAAACACAGTGTTCTGTCTTTAAACAAGTTAGTCAAGTATATCTTAAAAGAATATCTATGTGATGACATCAGCCCTAAAATAAAGTTTAGAATGTGGTATTCTAGAATCTTGTCCTTTAACAAATCCCCCGAAAGTCATTTAAGGTCAACTCTAACATGTGAAAATCAACTTTGATATGAAAATGAGAACTAATAGTGCATAACAAAAGAAAATGCTAAATAACAAAGTGTACTGAGGTGCAAAATTATAACACATGTGCCGTTCCAGAAACAAATAGACATTTCTTTTTATAGATTTGGAGGATTTCTATAATAAGATAAACAAGAAGTTCATGGGTGGGGTCTGTATAAATAATATCCTACTGATAGGAAAAATGACAGTATAAACAGGATATAATAACAGTGCCTGCTGAATTCCCAGCATGTTATTTGTAGCTTTCTTCACAGTTACAGCTGCTCCTGCCCAGGGTAAATTTTTACCTCTGTATGAGGTTGGCCAAGATTCTAAATTTTCACTAACAATGATGATGGGGCGGTGAGCATAACCTTTACTTTAGTAATAAACACATGTATTGTATATTTGCTTTCAGGATAAACTGTGTTCCTAGACTGTTTATGGATTCTTAAAACGTAATTTTTAGAAAACAACCTCTGGGAAAAAATCAGGCCCAAAGAATAAATGGGTAACTGGGAAGAACTTGATGAATGCTTTTAAGCCCATGAAATATACTATTTGAGTTCATATCTTAGAAAAGAATAAATATATGGAAGAAAAAAAACATTTAGCACCTCTGGATTTTAAGAAACATTACAGTTTTATATTTTTAAAAATTGTGATAGTGTAGTAGAAAAGCAGAATTCCAGGGTTCTGTCTTGCTGGCATTAGATTGCCTTATGACCTGATTCTCATTTTCTTATTTCTAAGAAGAGATGCTTTGATCAAGTAGCTTTTGTCTTGGTCCATTTGGCCTGGCAACTATAGCAAAATACCTCAACTGGATAGAGTCTCATAGTTCTGGGAACTGGAAAGACCAAGATCAAAGCCAGTTCAGTGTTAGTGAGAGCTTGCTTCACCCCTTCTTGCTGCAGGGTGAAGGATCTCTCTTCTCCCCTATCCCCACCTCACCACTAAATCCATTCTTGAGGTTCTGGCCCACACAACCTAATCACTCCCTAAAGGTGCCCCTCTTAAGGTGGCCTCACCTTGAGGACAACAGTTTCAGGATGCGAATTTTAGGGAGACATAAACACTCAGAACATAGTGGTTTTCAAGTGTCTTCAGCTGAGCAGTTACCAAATCTAGTCAGATTCTTGAACTAATAAAATTACAAAAGCTTTTAATATCAGAATATGTCAACCTCAGTTAAATTCAACTATATAATTTGACACCTTCATCCCCAAAATGAATTTAGAGGTATACAGGTCAACGGTGGATTTTTTTCTTTACCTTTTATTGAGATAAAATTTGCCTACAAGTACAGACCTCTGAGTTATGTCACATTTACACAGTGGTATAGTAATTACCAAAATCAAGGCATAGAACATCTTCCGTATTCTATCCTGTGGTTTCGGTCCTGTGTGTGGTCAAATGCTTCCTTCCTCCTAATCCCTGGCAACCACTTACCTGCATTCTGTCCCTATTGTTTTGCCTTTTGTATTTTTGGAGAAGTTTTATGTGAATGGGATTGTACAGTACATACCTTTGATTTCTGGCTTCATTTAGCATGATGCTTTTGAGATTAATTACTGTTCTTATGTTATTAGTTCATAACTTTTAAATACTGAGTCCTATTCCATTGAATGAGTAGAACAAAGTTTGCCTATTATTTATCAGTTAGTAGACATTTGGATTATTTCCAGCACTTGGATGATATGAACATTTATCTACCAGTTTTCATGTGGGATATG